AAAGAAAACACATTTAAAATGAGTTTAATATTATTCATGATTCTCTGAATAATACCTGTACCACTGATTCTCTGTACCACTTTGTGCATGCTTGTAATCTTGGTTTTTTTTTTTTTTTTTTTGGAAGGTTCTCAATCACTGATTGTGCCAATTGCATACTGGATAAAATGGAACAAAACGAACCAGTACTATCCTTTCAGCTAGCATGGAATAGTTGTGATTTATGTATGTATTATATATGTCTGTGTATATTTATATGTATGTATGTATGTATGTATGTATGTATGTATGTATGTATGTATGTATTCGAGGTGGTATTCAGCAGGTTCTGACCAGTTCTGGAAAACCGGTAGCGGAAATTTTGAGTGGAGAACCAGCAAATACCACCTCTGACTAGCCCCATCCCCATCTATTCTCAACCTCCCGAGACCCCGCTGATCGGCTGAGTCTTCTTTTGTTGCCCTGCACAGGAGAACAGAGCTGGAAAGCAGGTTAGTGGGGTGGAGAGGGAATAGGATTTTGCAGTAACCTTCTCCCAGGAGTGGGGAGGGAATGGAGATTTTACAGTATCCTTTCCCTGCCACGCCCACTAAGCCATGCCCACCAAGCCACACCCACAGAACCGGTAGTAATTTTTTAAAAATCCCACCACTGGTGTGTGTGCGTGTGTGTTGTGTGTGTCTGGTGTGTGTCTATGTATCTGTCTCTGTGTGTGTCTGTGTATGTGATATATAGATACACACGCACTCGTACACAGATCAGAAGCTATCCTTTCAAAAGCTATCCCTTCAAAAATGTCAAAACTACTGTTATTGAAAGAAAACCAGAACATCCAGGTCATCAGTAGTGATTTTTGGTTCTATGGGTTTGGTATTTGGCATAAACAGATTTCAGTTATGTTCAGGCTGATAGTCAGGCTGTAGAGCACAGCAGCTTCTGCAAAGTTGTTCATCATAAGCTATGGAACACTGTCTTTGTGGATTAGGCATCAGCAAAGATTGTTTCTTGAATATTGTATGGAGGCACTTCATAAAATTGTATTTTCTCAGGTAATGGAGAAGAATATAATAGAACAGTACAGGAGAGAAGAGAGGAGAGGAGAAGAGTGGAGAGGAGAGAAACAAAAGACTGGAAGTGATATTGGAGATCTAACCTTTTTTGTAGTCCAACCCCCTGCCTAAGGCAAGATACGTTACACCATATTTGACAAATGGTCTTTTCTTGAAACTCTCTATTTACAAAGCACTTAGGAGGCAAGCTGTATCATTCATTAATTGTTCTTACCGTAAGGAATTTTTTTTCTTAGTTCCAAGTTTGATCTCTCTCTGATGAGCTTCCATCCATTACTTCTTGTCTCAGATGCTTTGGAGAATAAGCCAATACCCTCTTCTCAAGTGTAGGAAAACAGCTATCATGTCAGCCCTGAACTTTCTATTTGTTGGGTAGTCGTACCTAGTTCCCTTAACTGTTCATTATATGATTTAGACCTCTAGACCCCTTATCATTTCTGTTGCTCTTCTCTGCAATCTTTCTATGGCCTCAGCATCTTTTTTTTTTTTTATCTTGGTGACTTGGTATTCCAAGTAACATTATGGTTACTTATTTCTGATCTCTTTGAAGTTCTGCATTTTTTAAAATGTGAAATTGTTATAGAAAATATATTTATCTGCATTCTGTAACTGTCCTTGAATGGATCTCCATATTAGAATGTATGTATTACTCTATTTTCTCTTTCTAGGCTGAAACAGAGCATGAAAATGGTTTACATATTTCAGAAGTAATTATTCTATAAAAGGTTGCAAGAGTCATTGATTAATCAAAGATTTAAAATACTTTCTTCCAATCCACAACCAATGGTGCAGTTTATTTCATTTACAGCATAAGCATTTAGGCTTGTAACATTCTTTTTAAAAAAATAAACTTTCCTTTGGACATAGAGCTATTGAGCTAACAAGATATTTTAACATAATTATGAAATGAGAATAAATGTAATCTCCACTTCATTTGTTTTATATTCAATTCTACTCGTACTACAAGTTAAAACCAAATCATATTTGCTTAAGTAAAAAGAAACAGAGTGGTAAAAGTTAGTAAGAAAATACAGTATATCATGCTCAACAACCTGATACTATGCAATTAATTACAATCTGTCAAGGATAAAATAGATAGATGAGGAAATACCAAATGAACATATTATAATACAGGTAATCCTCACTTGCTGACCGCTCATTCAGTGACTGAATTAGAAGGTTAATGATGCTGAACAGTGGTTCTAAGTACTATGGTCACATAATCACCACTGTGACTTTCCCTGATGCTTCTGTTAAGCAAAGTCAGCGGCAAGGAACATCCCAAATTGATATAGTAAGTATTCCCCCCCATCTTTTTGAACACCACAGCACTTTTTTCTTTCTTTAACCTCTTGTAATAAGCCCCATTCTACCCTCTTCTTTCGTCAGGCTCCTTTTGCAGATGCTGCATTGTACTCTCCTTTCTTTGGTTCCCTCTGTGATCACATGTAACCAAATCCTCCTTCCCTCAGCCTCCCAGTGTTTGCACATTGCCTCAATCTCCTTCCCTTGGCCTCCCTTCACATGCACTGCATCAAACCTTCCTTCCCTCAGATTCCCTTTGGTTGTTCACATCTCCCTTTTAATAGTCTCATTTTGCACACCTTGCCACGGATAGGCAGGCACCAATATTGTGCCTATCTGTCCTTGGCCTACCTCAGATCATTTGCATCTGCTACACCTGGTTCCCCAAATTTGCATACAGCCTGTGTAAGCCTCTCAGGATCTTCCACACACCAACCCATGGCACTCCTACCACTTCTCACTTAGCAATCTGTGCATCTTAGCAATAGCAATAACGCTTAGACTTATATACTGCTCCATAGTACTTTACAACAGTCTCAGGTTGGTTTTACAATATCAGCATTATTTACATATGACTCCCAACAAACTGGGACTTCATTTTTAGAAAGATGGAAGTCTAAATCAACCTCAAGTCCCATCAGGATTGAATTGCAGACTGTGGGAAGAATTAGCTTGCAATACTGCATTCTAACTACTGCACTACCAGGATTGCTTGGTTTTACGATGATAACTTGACTATCTGGATTACCCATCATGTGATGTCAATCTTTATGACCACATTGCTTAGGAACAATGTCCCAGTACCAATTGCTATTATAACCCAAGATCTACCTATATTTTAAGTAATCTGCTTTTTTTACACTAATGCAGACTTGATAACAATGAAAATATTTGCATTTTCCTTTTATGAAGAAACATCAGATCTCTAGTCATTAAATAATTATATCCGTTTATGTCTCTCAAAAATGCATAGAGGCAAAATCACATGGAAAATGTATCTACATTTCTATTTATTTTTTCAAGTACTTTAGAGCGAGTTTTAATTAATTGAATAATATTTCAAGGGTAAATTATTTGGAAACATTTCAAAAACAAATCAAATCTGGTATCCTGTATTTACACATTATTCTATTTCTTTGATACCCATTTTTGTGTGGCCCCTAAATGTGTTTTTCCCCTTTAAACAAATAGAAGAACCAAAGAAAACCTCATTTCTAATGAATTCTTAATTCTTCCCTTATTTTTTTTATCTAAATGCTTTGGATCTTTTATTCTATGAGACAATTTTTATCAAGTACATAGTATATATAAGTAGAAGGTTGATATTTTGATAGGAGTATTAACATTAAATAAATATATCAAATCACCAAAAAAGGAGTACTAATAAAATCTATAGTTTCAAAAGAAAATAAACAAAAAACATGCAGGGTCAGACCAAAGGTCTATTAAGCCAACATCCTTTTTCCAAGAAAAGCATTCCAAGCTTTCATATTTTTTGCAGATAATTTTATTAACAATTTTACATGGAAAGGATACAAGACAAAGCAGAGTACAAAAAATACAAAAATAAAAATACAAAAGAAAAAGAGAGGGGTTGTGAAAAAAGAAAAAGAAAAAAGTAACTTTTAACTTCCTTCCAGCAGGTAAAAATAATTTTATACCTCATCACTGCCTTAAATAACATAATTTCTATTTTCCTGAGAACCCATCTCTTAGATAAGAAAACAAAACCAAATGCTACTTCAATCAATCGCATCAGTTTTTATCAGCAAAAGTCCAGAAAGACCAACCAGATATAACTATTTTCTTCACAATCTCTCTTCTCCTCATAGTTCATCTCTTAGATTAAAAAAAACCAAGCCAAATAGTCCATCAATCTTTGTCAGCAAAGGTTAGTAAGGGCAACCTAATATATTCTTCTTTTAGTCCTAATCAAGCCAATCTTATAAATCTTCCCTGATTTTTTTATGCTTTGGTTCTTTTTTAAAAAAAGCCTCAGAGGTAATTTTCTGCTCATGTGTTTCAAAGAGAAAATCTTTCAAAACTTTAACAGATTTCTTTTTTATTCATTTCTAAATTTGCCATTTCTAAAAAAAGTCTTTCTAAATTTTAGCAGAGCTCTTTTGTATAAACGGAGGAAAATAAAAGTAATTATCCAAATCACTATTCTGACTTTATGTCTGTTCATTTCCTTTAGGGAGTCAGTCATCTGTCATTGCCAATTTGCATTGCATTTAAGTTACCCTTCAAATTAATTTCATAAACACTCATTGCATCTCGTTCTTGTTTTACAACTTCATGAGAACATGTTCTGTCAATTTTGTCAACTGTCTGATCAATTCTGTCCAAAAGCTTAGTTGAAAGGTATTCAAAATTGCACGAAGGATTTCTGCTCTATTTTATTTATCCACTAGTTCTAGTGTCAAGCCTTAAAGATACCTTATCATAAACATAAACAAACAAATAAATAAAAACAATCTCCATTTTCCATGAGGAAATAGCTTCTAAATCATTCAAAGTTATAATTCATCATTCCTCTGGTCCCTTAATCTATTAACTTTTCAAAATTCATAAACTAAGCATCATTTGCTCATATATTTTTAAAACTTTCAAAATCAAATTTACGTTGTCTTTTCAGGAGGCAAAAACTCATCCAGTGAATGCATTAGACACTTCCAGTCTGAGCAGCTTGGTATCTTCAATATGCAAGGAAATATATATATTTCTTTATATAATATAGTATATATATATATATAACATATATAATATAAATATAATATTTATTATATTACATGTATACACACATGTGCATATACAGATACATGTACATATACATTTAATCCAAAAACACGATTAGGATACAAGGCTTGATTTTCTTTGAATTTGATGTAAATCAAATTCTTAGCCACTCCACTAACAAGCTGCCCATAAAAATGACAGCTTTTACAGTTTACTCATGAGGAACAGCTGTCCAGAGTCATGTTGATAATTTCAATGATCTCTCATTTGTTCCAGAAAGATTATGCCAACTGAGATTCAGCATCCAGAGGTGATTCTATTAATAAAATTGTCCTGCTGGCAAACAAAGACTATCAAGGTATTTGCTTGTCATGAACATACAGGAATTCTCCAAAAAAAATATTTCTGATGCCTGATATATGAGTTAATGCCATTCTTTTTTGGAATGGACACTCTTCACTCTCTGTTATTTTGTTTTTTTCTGGGACTTTTCTTTTTCATTTCGACAACAGTATGAAAAAAAGGATCATTTTTTCATCTCTGGAGATCCTTTCTGATCTTTCAAATTACTTGTTCTTCCTTTTTTATTTTCATATTTACTTTGAAATATGTCCTGTGCAGATTTTAGCATCTACATAAATAAACTTGGCCCCTGAACCTGATTGTCAAGGATGCAGTCATTGATGGTCCATCTCTGTCTCTCTGTCTCTGTCTGTCTGCAGACTGCTATGAATCTCAGTTACAGTAATGATCTTATACAATAATGTAAAGTAAGAAAGGCACTTTATAACATTGCAGCAAAATATTTTATAAGCTATTTAAAAAATGCAAAAAAGTATTATTTCCTCAGTGCTAATATTTTTAACTGAGGTCAAACAATTCAATCTTGGTTTCATCAGATCAGAGAATCTTGTTCCTCACAGTCTGAAAGTCCTTCAGGTGCTTTTTTGCAAACTCCAAGTGAGCTTTCATGTGTTTTGAACTAAGGAGAGGCTTCCATCTAGCCACTTTACCATAAAGCCCAGATCAGCGGAGGGCTACAGTGATAATTGTCCTTCTGAAACTCTGACCCTTACCCACCAAGATCTATGGAGCTCACTCAGGGTTCTTGGTCACCTCTCTTACTAAGATATTTCTCCCCCAATTGCTCAGTTTGACTGGGTGACTAGCTCTTGGAAAAGTCTTGGTTGTGCCAATTTTTTTCCATTTGAGAATTATGGAGGCCACTATGCCCTTAGGAACCTTCAGTACAGCAGAAATTTTATTGTAGCCTTCCCCAGATCTATTTCTTGCAATAATCCTGTCTCTGAGCTCTGCAGGCAGTTCCTTTCATGGATGTTGTTCTGCTACAGTATGCATTGTCAGCTGTGAGGTCTTCTATAGAGAGGTGTGTGCCTTTCCAAATCATGTCCAATCAATTTGTCAACAACTATTGAATCAGGCTGTAGCATAACAAAATTGACAAAAAGTGAAGGGTGTCTGAATACTTTATTAATGCACTGTATATAACTATGAAATAGTGTTTTATAAATGTCTTATCAGATGCAAAAAACTAAGTTGCATTAACAGGAAGAAGGTATCTCTCCATTCTGCCAGGTCTACTGGAAGGATATGTTCCAGGCCCCTTCCCTAAAGGCTGTCATCTTATGAATCTAAAAGTATACCTCCTTTGTCTTGTGAACCATCCCTTAAATCATTCAAGGCCTGAAAACATTGACTCTTTCCACATGCATTGGGACAGGGTAAGACTATAGCTCAGTACAACATGAATGGTTGAGGATGTGTATGTGTAATTGCCTTTCAGGTGCAGGGACATTTTTGTGGTTTTTATAATTTTTATGTATTTTTAAATTGTAAGCTGCCTGGTATTCTGGTATATAAAATAGGCAGTTATATAGGTCTTTTAGATAAATATATAAAACCCATTATAGATAGTTTTGCCCTATTCTAGTTCACTATTTTTCTTTTTTTGCTTAAGAAAATATATGTGATCTCAGTTATATCTGTAGCTATTAGTTAGGAAACAGTTCCAGGTACTGTGGCAGAAGTCAGACATAGTGAATTATAAAACTATAATGCATAATGTGTTGCTGCCAGAACATATAAACCTGGACTTATTAAAAGGTTGAAATATAGACTTCATATCCATATGGCTTTTCAATCAAAATGAATTCCAACTAAACCTATTCATTTCATATTTTAATTACTTTCACATCAATATATTTAGATGACAAATTGAGATATTTGGCTAAATGTATAAATAGTCATTTTCAGGGGGGACTATGTATAGTGAATTCTTACAATATAAAATTGATGGAATTTGGAATTTAAATTTTTATTTCTTATGTAATGAACTGAATGGGAAATAGATAAATAACTCTCACCCACCAATTATTTTCTCTTTTCTCTTGGGAAAAAAATCACAGTTCATTTGAAAGTATCTTAATAAAGCAGATCATTAGAACTTGAGATTCAAGGAGTAATTACTAGACTTAGCAATTTAGTTAGCCAGTTTATAAACTAGATTCTTAAATCATCTGACAAAAAGCAACTGTAAAAATGTGGCTTGGCCTTATATTCTTCCAATGCAGTTACTTAGTTACTATCAAAACAGAATCTGACAGCCAGTTTCTCTTTAGTAGTTAAGGTACCAGGCTAGGAAATAAAATATTTTTATAATATTACAAACGACTGTGTATTTAACAATAACTGTAACAGTTTTTCTTTTACTCTTAGCCTAGCCTTTCATCTTTCATATATTTGTCCTGTGATTTTATACTCATTCATTTTCTTTGCTTGATCAAACCATCTCTAGAGGGTTTTTTTATTGTTAAATAAGGATCCTATCCATTCTTGACTTTATATTTTATGTACTTAATTCCTGTTTCATTTTATTTAGCATTATGCTTTTTAAAAAAATAAATTTTATTGATTTTACAATTAAAACAAACCAACAACACATACATAAATGAAAGAGAGAAAAAGAAGGGAGAAGAAAATAGAAAGAAAAAAATAGAAAACAATTAAAAACATTCCCATCTTCAACAGTTTGTAAGACCTCTTTTGATCCTTATTTTATGCCATATACACACACCTAATCCTTACATATATCTGTGTATCACTACTATGGATTTATCCTATCCTCTTTTGCCATTTAGTTGAAGTCTATCTTTGGTCTATCCATTTGTACCAGCAGTTCCAGCTGTTGTAGTATACTGAAGTGTCTTTATTTTTTAATGCCAAAGTTAATTTGTCCATTTCTGCACAACTTGGAATTTTTTGAATGATGATCTCCTCTGATGGAACATGAGGCTGCTTCCAACATTGTGCAAAAGCCAATCTGGCCACTGTCAAAATATGTATTATTATATATTTCACTTTTTTGATATTTGTTTATCAAAGATCCCTAACAGAAAGGACTCTGGTTTGAATTCGATCTGTTCTCTTGTCATTTCTTCCAGCCAATTTCTAATTTTCTGCCAATATTTTTGAACTTCTGTACAGGACCACCACATATGGAAAAAAGTTCCCTCTTTTTTTTTGCATTTCCAGCAGTTCAAACTCATATTGGGGTGCATCTTCGCTAATCTTGAAGGAGGAAGGTGCCATCTTTAAAACATTTTATAGGCGTTTTCTTTGTATGCTACCGATTTTGTAATTTTATTATTTCTACCCCAGGCCTTTTTCCATTCTGTTATGGTGATGCCACGTCCTATATTCCTACTCTAGGCTATCATGTTCCCTTTTACAATTTCTTCTTCTAATGCTACTTCTAACAAATAATTATAAAATTTTGTTATATTTTGTTTGCCTGATCCTAATAAAATTTTATCTAATTGCTGGAGTTTATTGTTAATTCCAAATTCTTTCTTGTCCTGTTTATATCTACTTTGAATTTGAAGATATGCCCACTGATCAATTTTTAGTCCCCACTCTTGAAGTTCTTGCTGCGATTTCAAATTTCCTTGTGTATCCAATAGGTCCTTATATTTAATCATTTTAGTGATATCCAGATTATTTGGGTGAATCATCGCCTCCATTGTTGAAATCCAAATTGGTATTTTTAAATAGTGTTTTTTACGTATTTTTTTCCAATTAGTTGATAATGAGTCTCTGCTTAGGTGTCTGTGAAAATATTTCTGGCTAGTTTTCCCTACATCCCATAAAAAAGCATGCCACCCCCTCTGCAAGTCATGGCCTTCTAAGAATAATATTCTCTTATTGGTTAAATTCACCCATTCCTTCAACCATACTAAAGAGGCTGCACTATAATACAACTCCCAGTTTGGAAGTGCCAGCCCTCCCGTGCTCTTCATATCCTGCATTGCCTTTAAATTTATTCTAGGTTTTTTCCCTTGCCAGATAAATTTTACAGTTATTTTATTAAGTTCTTCAAAAAAAAATTGTGTACTTTGATTGGGATCGTCTGAAATATATATAGGAATTTTGGAAGGATATTCATTTTAATAGCAGCAATCCTGCCTAATAATGAAAGTTGCAGCTTGCCCCATGTTTCTAAATCCTTCTTTACCTGTTGCATCAATTTATCATAATTATTTTCCTTAAGTGTCTTACAATGTGCTGTCAACCATATTCCTAAGTATTTAACTTTCTTTATCACTTGTATTCCCATAACTTCTTCTAGTTCTGTTTCCTGTTTTTCTGTTAAATTTTTAGTCATTAATTTTGTTTTCTTCCTGTTAATTTTAAGTCCTGCTACTCCAAATTGTTCTAATTCATTCATCAATTTTTGTCCTCTTTCTATTGGTTCCTCAATGAAAAAAATCATATCATCCGCAAACGCTTGCAACTTATATTCTTCTTTCTTAACCTTTAATCCTTTTATGTCTGGGTTCTGTCTAATTCGCATTAGTAATGCTTCTAAAGATAATATGAAGAGCAGGGGTGAGAGTGGGCAGCCCTGTCTGACTCCTTTTTCTATTTTTATTGGGCGAGT